TCAAGTCCTGTGCAAAAACGCATGATCGCACGGGCCCGTCCGGTGCGTTCCAGCCTGGGTTTCTTTCCCTCATTCGAGGCGTTTTTATCCGACAGTTAGAAAATTGAAATTTTAGCGTAGCATCCCCTGCCCCCGTACAACGCAAATTTACAACGTCTGTGTGGGAAGTTTTGGCCAGAAAAATCATTATTTTGGAAGTCAGAAAAGTTAGGGAGCTAAAAATTTCAGGAAAATGTTCCCTACCTAAAAAGGGCTTAGTAAACTCGAATTCAGTTCCTAATTATGCCGAGGTCTCACGTACGACCAAGTGAAAGTCTTGTCTCAAAATCATTCAAAAGTTAGAAAATTAGGATTGAGATTTTGGAAGGATACTCATTCTTCGAGGTTTCAAATTCCGCTTTCACGTGCTGATGCGTGAAATTTATAACTATTTTCTAACATTTCAACTATTTTTGCACCGACCCAAGTGCAAAGCAGTGAAAATCAATAACAGGCAATCGTTCGGTGGACGGAACTGCACAAAACGCATGATTGCACCGGCTATTCTGGTACGCGCTGCTATTTATTGCTCGCAGTAGCAGTGCGGATCAAGAAGTAAGAAGCATCGGGGGATGGGTTCCTCATCCTTCCCAACATAATTTCCTTCTCAGTTTTTACCATTGCTCATTAAATTTAAGTTACATTTTTCGGCAACGGCAAAAGCAATTTCAGGACAATAAAGGTTCAGCTGGAACTAAACAAAATTCGGCCGATATCTGGACTGCTGAGGGAAATAACGAAGCAACAGAAACAACAAGTGATTAAAAACACTTGTAATTAAAATGGATCACATGCGCTACTCAGGCCTTGGTGTTGGTGGTGCTGGGACGAATTCGGGTTCTGCGATTGGATACGATTTTGGGACCGCTTTCCATTCCTTCTCTGTTCGTTTGTAAATCATCTGTCGTGTATAGTGCCCGAATTTCTGCTTGTCCCGTAATGCTTTCACTGATTCTCTATAAAATAGTTGCCCGTGGTAAGAAAAAAAAAAATCAATGTTTCCTGATACAGCAATAGTTTTCCATCTTGGAACTATGGAAAAAAAAGTGTTATTGCGTTTAGTGTGGGCACTGGACAATATTGCCCTTACCCTTGGGCATAAGGCTGTCTCGGGCGTACTCTTGCTAGATGTAATTTCGATTTGTAAAAGCGCAGAAAGAAATACTGATAACAAATCGGAAAAATACAGAAGCAGCGAAGAAACTTATTCCTTCGAATGAAACACAGAATGGCATTAAAGCAAAACAAAACATTGCCTGGAGGTAGAGTACATCTATACGGTAGAAAGGGTGCCAGCTGAGCTGAAAGTTATAAGGTACGCTGCGACAAGATAATAACATCTGGAGAGGAAGCAACCTTTTGGGTGGCGGCTGAAGGAGTTGTTCCAAATTGCAATGAATTGGTTCCACGGGCTTTTGAGGTACAAACACGACGTGAACCAGGTCGAGATCGTTGCGCAATACTGTTGTTGTTGATTGGCGTACCTCTCTCGGCATAAATGCTTTTATTAAGAAGTAACTGAAACTGTCCCACTTAAAACAAGTATATTACTGTTTAAAAAACATAAAGGGATTTGCCTGTGCTGAAAACAGTGAAGACAACATAACACTTCTCATACTCAAATCAGACCACCATACTTTCCCTCGAACGATATCGAACAGCTGAGGCATAAATGCTATAGTGTGCCACAAGGCGCTGCTAGAATCGAAGGGTTTGGATGCTCCTGCTTAGTTTTTTTTTCACGGCTCGTGCGCGGGAACCACGTTTACCCAGGGGCTGGGAGTGAGCTCATTAATACCTACTTGGACGCGGAACATCGCCCTAAGATTTCAGCTTTCTAGCTTCTCAGATCCCCGAGTTATGAACTACCACAAAAGTCCTCATTCCAACAGATAAAAGTTCGGGAATTTTTCTCACAGATTCTGTTCATTTTATCTGCTGGCAATGGGCGACTGCGTGCCGATCTTAAATTTTATAGGATGATTTTGCGAGGGAAATCCTTTCTAAAAAGTTTGTGCGCAATAGTGGTTTTGGACTACTTTCACCGTTCGAGTATTGGATAGTGGCGGCACTTACACCATCAACACTGACCGTATCGGTTCCTGTTTTATTTTTTGTACAACTTCTACTTTACTTCGAAATCTTCGCTGTCAAAGGTAGGTATGTTTGTAGTAAGCGCAACTTATCACAAAAACTCGAACGATTCAGAAAGTGTTATTACTCAAAAGCAGAGGCATTAACTGTTGGTATTGATGAGTGAGGGAAAATTGTTACTTTGAAGTGTACACGTGTTCT